TCTGAGATAACAAGGTGTAGAGCTGGATGAACACAGCAGGCCAAGCAGCATCAGAGGAGCAGGAAGGCTGACGTTTCAGGCCTAGAAGAAGGATCTAGGCTCGAAACGTCAGCTTTCCTGCTCCTCTGATGCTACTTGGCCTGCTGTGTTCATCCAGCTCTACACTTTGTTATCTCAGCATCCTGGTAAACCTTATCTGCACCCTCTCCAAAGTCTCCACCTCCGTCCTATAATGTGGCAACCAGAATTGAATGGTGTACCCTAAGTGTGGCCTGACCAAAGTCTTATAAAGCTGCAACATGACATCCTGACTCTTGTACTCAATTCCCCAACCAATAAAGGCAAGTATGGCCTACGCCTTCTTTACCACCCTCTCTACTTGCGTGGCCATTTTCAGGGAGCTATAGACTTGAACCCCAAGATCCCTCTGTACATCAATGCTGTTGAGGTTTCTGCCATTAACTGTAGACTTTACCTTAACATTTGATCTCCCAAAGTGCAGCACCTCACACTTATCTGGATTAAACTCCATCTTCCATTTCTCCACTCATATCTGCAACTGATCCATTTCTTGCAGTATTCATTGATAACCTTCTATACTATCTACAACTCCATCTGCAAACATACTAACCCGCCTATCTACATTTTCATCCAAGTCATTTATATGTATCACAAACAACAGTGGTCCCTGAGGAACACCACTACTCACAGACCTCCAGCCCAAAAAACAACCTTCCACCACCACCCTCTGCCTTCTATGGGCAAATCAATTCTGTATCCACGCAGGCAAGTCACCTTGGATCCCATGCATCTTAATCTTCTAGCTGAGTCTACCATGAGGGACCTTGTTGAAGGCCTTACTAAATTCCATGTAGGCAACAAGGGGAGGCGATGGCCAGTGGTATTATCACTGGACCGTTAGTCTAGAGACCCACACAATGTTCTGGGGACCCGGGTTTGAATCCCACCATGGCAGATGGTGGAATTTGGATTCAATAAATATCTGGAATTAAGAATCTAATGATGACCGTGGATCCACTGTCGATTGTTGGAAAAAACCCATCTGGTTCACTAATGTCCTTTAGGGAAGGAAAGGTCTGGCCTATATGTGACTCCAGACCCACAGCAATGTGGTTGACTCTTAACTGCCCTCTGGGCAATTGGGATGAGCAATAAATGCTGGCTAGTCAGTGACGCCCTCATCCCGTAAATGAATTAAAAACAAAACTGCCCTACTTTCATTGATCACCTTCATCACGTCCTCAAAGAATCCAATCAAGTTAGTAAGACATGACCTGCCCTGTACAAAGCCATGCTGTGCATCCCTAACTGGCCATGCTTTTCCAAATGTATGTAAATCCTATCCCTAAGAATCCACTCCAATAGCTTACCAACCACCGATGTGAGACTCAACAGTCTATAGTTTCTTGGATTGTCCCTATTTCCCTTCTTGAACACAGGAACAACATTAGCTACTCGCCAGTCCTCGAGGACCTCTACATTGGCTAATGAGGATACAAAGGTCTTGGTCAAGGCCCCAGCAATCTCCTCTCTTGCCTCTCTCACAAGTCTGGGATAGATACCATCGGGCCCTGGGGACTTATCCACCTTAATGCCCTTCAAGGCACGCAACACCACTTCTTTCTTGATCTCAAAATGCCCTAGCATATTAGCATGCTCCACACTAATCTCACTATCCTCCATATCCTTCTCCTGGGTGAATACCAACGCAAAGTACTCACAATAATTTTGCAGAATTTTTCAACTGAGAATTAAATGGTTTGAATAAGATATAGGATTGATAGTTCAGACAACCTTCTTCAATGCCTTGTTTTCATATGATTTGATATTAGAGTAACTGTCAGTGTACATATGGGCTAACCATTTGTATACCAAGAAATATCTGTGCAAAGCATGAACTACCAGATGGCATGCAACCCTAAATATCATACAGCTAACACAAAGTTTGGCCCTGTATGGTCACATTTTAACACAATTTTAATTGTATTTAGTTATAATTTTATCATTATTCGTTATAACTTCCCTCCAGACAGACAAATTTCAGATCAATCGCTCATTGTTGAACAGCTTCCTGTTATTTTAGCAATGCTTTATACACACTATTTCTAACTCTGAATTATGATAATAATTCACTTAATTTCAATTTCTTGCGTCATTCAACTCATGAGGCATTAATAAGCAAAAATGTGTTCTGAGAAACCTGTTTATTTTAACTGAGTTGATTAAGCTCAATGAGATCCTTTCAGAGTTTTGTTCTTTCTTTCCCTGAACACACTTAATTTTACTGGTGGTAAGGTTCCAAGAAAGCCTTTTGGGCCATGAGCGATCATTCCTCATATTTGAGTATAGTAAGCACTGGTAACTATTCTGTACTTGGGGCTATGTAAAATGGTCATGCTCCATTAAATTCAGTCATTGCTTGAAATCAATGCAGAATATTCCCCACAGAAATCATCAGGTATCAGGAGTGTGGGATAAACTTGCTTTCTTTACTCCTTAGGAATAGATTAGATCATTCAGTCACTTAAGCCTCATTTAGACCATGGCTCTCCATTACCAGCAGGGCTTCATTTCCGTTGTTACATTTATATAAAGAAAATCTTTGGACCTGAGTCTTGCAAGATCCAATATCTCCAACATCCACAGCCTTTTGGCTCCAGGCTTCAATGGACCCTTGTGTCTAAACTGGCTTCTCAATTTCACTCTGGAATAACCTAGTTTCAGTTTTAAAATTACATCCCCATGTTCTTAATTTGTCCATTATGAGAAATAACTTCCCAGAATCTATCCTATTGAAACCTTTCAACCTTTGATAAATCTTTCCATTCTGTAACACCACAATGCAAATGCCAAACCTACATCCTAGGTAATGTTATCTGTTGCTCTCTGTAGATCAATGCCGGTGAACACAATTACAGACTTTTCTGTTATTGCAATCTACTTCTTTCCTTATCACTCAGTCAGGTTAACTCTAGCATAACAGTGTGCCGGATTACAAACCTAGCTGCCTCAGACTCACGACTGAGACATAGGCATTGCCCACACTGATGAGGAATAGCTGGCAATGCTTCAGTCATTCAGGTAGGTCTATTCTTCTTCTCTGAGTTCTGAGCTCAGGATCCTGTTTCTGTGACGACTGGTCCTAGATAACCCTGTTGATGTCTTCAAAACACTTATTTTTACATATTTTCTCTTGAAGGTTCTGGAAAGTTTAACTCCTGCCCAAGACACTTGTGACTTTAAGATAATCTATCCAAGGGTTGTATAGACAGGGGAGTCTGTTTCATTTGTGCTCCCTTCTGTCTTTAATTTTGTCGCCTTGATAACTACAAAGGTCAAGCAACCTTTAAGCAACAGTTTTCTGCTTCCAGAGCATTGCCTGGTCCTGGCTTTTGTTCCTGTGAAGTTGGCCACTTTTCCCCATTATCTTTAAAGAGACTTAGTTTTAACCATCTGGTACAGTGCAGAAATTTAGGTGCAACCATATGGCTACACTAAAATGAGTTCTTGCTGCACAAACTAGGACTCCAACCTTGGTAGTTTTCCACTGCCTATAACCAATTTTAAAAACAGCAATTGCTTAGTGAGTCATGAGAACCATTTGGAAGGATTTTTGTTGTTCTTTGGTGAGAATATATTATCTCAAAATCCATCTGTATGGTTTTGGCCTTCAATAAAAGTTTACCTCTGGACCCGAAACCTTAACTCTGCTTTCTCTCCACAGATGCTGTCAGACCTGCTGAGTTTTGCCAACAATTCCTGTGTCTGTTTCTGATTTCCAGCATCCACAGTTCTCTCTTTTTTTAAAAGGTTACCTCTTATTTATTTTCTTCTAACCTGAGAAAGTAACATAGTTAGGGTCTGCCCTCCTGGTCACTCCTCACGGCTGACTAGCTAATACAGCAAAGTGCAACGATGTTTCTACCTGGTGGCTCTGTTCAAATCTCAGGGAGCTGCAGAAATGGGGGGAACTTGAAATAAAAACTCTATTTCTCTCTTTGCATTTGCTGCCACACCTGCTGAATGTTTTCAACACTTTCTGCGTTTTTGTCATTTCAGATCTCTAGCATTTGCTTTTATTTTAGTGGGGACCTTTATATTATTCTTTGGAAAATGGCTTGCTGGTCTTTGGTGACATGCTTCTGTGTATTCTGACTTCCGAAGCGCAAGTGGTCTCTATAGTTAATAATATAATAAAACGGAAAGTGCTGGAGAAGCTCGGCAAGTCTGGCAGCATCAGTAAAGCTGGTCATATTGGACTGTGAAACGTTAACTCTGTTTTTCTCTCCACAGATGTTGCCAGACCTGTTAAGTTCACCCCAATGCTTACTGTTTTCTTCTATATTTCAGATTTCCAGCATCCACAGTATTCTGCTTTTATTTGGGCTCTATAAGCTGCTGAAGTGCATCATTCACCTCAGTATCACTGCGGAAACAACAGTGGTGGGGAAATGATGTGAAAGGGTCATTTTGAGTTGATAGGAGTGGGAATGGAAATGATAAATTAACGGCTGAAGCTGAAGCCAGAAGTGACTTTCTTATACACTATCTGTAAATAATGTTCATTCATTCCTGAATTATCTGATAAAATGTGGCTTGGGGCGGGGTAGAGGGGGAGGGGGGGGTCTTGTAACTTATGACTGAATGAAAATAAAATTCTCTTCTCGAAGTGCAGTACAAAATAAGTCGAAAAGACTTTTGAATGCAACTTGCCGATTGGTACAAGGTGAGTGATGGAAGTTCTGACCATTTGGAGCATTTGTTTTTAGGCTTAAATGGTACAATACTTGGCGGGGAGGTGGGGGGGGGGGGGGGGGGGGGGAGAGATCTGTGGGGGAGGAGATGTGGTGTGTTTCTGGTGGGTTGGGATGGGGAGTGGGGAGTGGATTGGCCGCAGGAGGGAATCCGCATTAGGTGTTGCGGTAAACCCGCCTCTTTCTTGTTCAGTATAAAGGAAGCTCACCACTCAAAGCCACAATGCTGGGGGAAAAGATCAAATTTCAGAAAAGGGAGATGTGTGGATTCTCTGACGGGACCCTGGAGCTGCATCACAGAGACCAGTTGCAGCTATTTGTTTGTATTGGTGCAGAGACTGGGGACGAGTCAGAACCGTGCGCTGCAAAGCGGTTGATTTGATCGGCTCGGAGCCGGGAGCCAGATGCCCCGAAATTGCCGATCGTGCTGTTCCATGAGCGCTATGAGCCGCTATCTCTGGCTGCCTTTGCCCTATGTCGCCAACACTTTCCGAAAGAGCCCGGAGGAAGCCAATGTCAGCGACTTGCTGTCGGCTCTGTACGACCTCTCCAACAGCTCCTCCTTGTTCAACTGGGGCAACCTGACCATCGAGGATTGGGGTGTCTTCAGCAACCAGACCAAGTATGAAGCCGAGTCCCAGAACCCGACTGTCAAAGCGCTGCTGATCGTTGCTTATTCTGTCATCATCGTCATCTCGCTCTTCGGGAATGTCCTGGTTTGCCAGGTGGTGGTCAAAAACAAGAGGATGCACTCTGCCACCAGCCTGTTCGTGGTCAATCTGGCGGTGGCCGATATCATGATCACACTCCTCAACACCCCCTTCACTTTGGTAAGACCTGCCTGTTGTCTTAGCACTAAACCTCGAGGCATCCCTGAAATCTCCAGAATTATCAGGAGCAAGGTTACATTAATGGGAAAAGAAACTACCTGTAACTCACCTCTTATTGTGTTCGGGGATAGGATGGAGCTGGGAGCTGTCCTCAACTGTGGGCATTGTCAGGCACGGGTCTTTCAAATGTGCCCTATGTTTAATGATAGTATTTTTCTAACATGCCAATTAATTGTGCTTTTAAATAGACACTGCTGACTTAAAATATCTTGACAGTGGGTAATTGGTTTTACAAAATACATTTGGAATTATTTTAATTGGTAATGAGTCACTCTTGTGCATTTGGGACATCATTGTGAATTCTCACGGAGATTTCGTGAAATATTAATGCCACAGCTCCAGCACCAACTGTCATGAAATTTGAAAAGAAATATACTGAATCTGGAGACACTTAACAAGCTTGCTGTCTTAGAGATTATTCAGTGATGCCCAAGTTTGCTTTAGAAGCTGGGCTCAAAGGCAGGTTGATTAGAGATCAAGATACAGAACTGATTCTCCTAAACCAATTATCTTAAAATTGAATATCCACCTGCACTATTCAGTTCACCCTGTTGGGTGTTAGTATCTCTATCTGTGTAGTTCAGGCATTTTAAATGTAAGGTCTACACCTGGAAGGTACCCAGGATTTTGGAAACAAAACCTTCACAATTGTTTTTGGAATGTAACAGTTTTACGATGTTGTGCCCTTAATGGACTTTATATTACTGCCACAGGTTTCATTTCACCCATATGAGAAACTCCAATCAGATTTCCAAGAGTTAATCTCATCTATGTATATCTTCTATAAAGTGACATTATTGTCATGAGAATATGCACATTAAAATCTGAGAATTTGAGTTGCCGGTGAATCAGGGATTAGACCTGACAGGCTTGCATCTTCCAGCAGACTAGAATTCCATGTTTTTAAGGATTACAGTGCTGCTGACAACTCCCTAGTTCTCTTTGATATTCCTTAGCATTCTCAAACAGACATGTTGCATCTGATAGTCTTTAACATTGTTGTAAATTGAGATTGAAGAAAGCTTCTATTTTCAGTTAAATTTGCTGATGGCTCTGAAATTGACAATGAACTCAAAAACCACTTCCCCACTGGTCATTATATTGATGGGACCAGGCTTAGCTGGTCAAGATCACAATTGGATGCAGATATCTGACTTTTTTAAAATTCACTCATGGGACATGGGCATCACCAGGTAGGCAGCATTTATTGTCAATCCCTAGTTGCCTTTGAGAAGGTGCATTAGTCATGAGCAATGTTACTTGTAACATTTCTTAAAGAGATGCTCTATTTCATGATAACATTTAACAACAGTTTTGTCAGCATGAGATTGCCAATTATTGAAGAATGTTACTTGTTGGCTCCACAAGGATAACTTTGTTTTTAGTGCTGTAAAATGTTGCTGTATATTAAATCTGGCTACCTGATTTTAATTTTCACTATTTCAATCAACTGATTTGATTTGTCGGCCCACGCTGAAGTATGAATGTTGTGGTACAATTTCCAGCATTGTTTTTGGATTAATTAGCCTGCTGCACATTCCTTAAGGCTGATTGTCTGTAATCCCTTCCTTGTCCTGAGGTCTGTAATCTATTGGTCCTATGAGGCAGTTCCCTAGTTTTTCCACTGGAGTGACCCCCTGTCAAAGCTTAAACTGTTGCGACTCCTTGGTGAGCTGTGGGAGAGAGAGAAGGGAGCAACTCCAGCTATTACTACCTGGCAGTTTGCAACACCAGCTTGTGACCCCACTTGTGGTCCTGACCTCTAACTTGGGAAACCCGGCATAGGCTTACAGATCTATTAACGTTCTAATATTGTTCTACTCTGCTTAGCTTTCCTTTCTCTTGAAAAAACTAACCAAAGACTGTTTTCAGTAGCACAGAAAATAACCATACCATTGAGTACAATAATGAGTCCTACAGATCACAAAGGTATGAGCATTAATCCTTAGTTTGGACTGTTATCTGTGCTGCTGATACCTGCCAGTATGTTCTGGGTCCAGATAAATGAACATCAGGCAGGATCCATGCACGTTCCCACTCCATCTGTACAAATAGCCCTGAGCTTCCAGTTGTCTACCACTTTAACACACCACCCTGCTCCTATGCTAACATTTCTGCCTTAGGCCAGCAGCAGTGGTCCAGTAAAGTTCCACCCAAGCTGGAAGAACAACATCTCATCTTATATCTCGGTAGCTTATAGCCCTCAGAACTCAACATTAAGTTTAACATGTTTAGAGTGTGAACGCCTCCCTCCATGCTCCGTACCCACCCCCCCAACCCCTGTCCCCCTCACCACCACTCATACCCTTGGTCCTGTATTTTATGATTGTTGCCAACCCATTTTCAACTATTCGCATTTCCATTATCACCTATTCATCATTTATTACTTCTCCGGATTACAGTCAGAAATCCCATTACCTGCTACGATTTTTTCTTTCTCTGAGCACTGTCTCCATCTATTCGTCTCACACTTTCCTTCCTCCCTAACCACACCCCGTCGTGTCAACAGTGTAAGTATCACCATCTCCTAGCTGCTTTCAGACCTGATGAATTGTTACTGGACTCCAAACATCAGCTCTTTTTTTCCCTCTCCATAGATCTGTCAGATCTGCTGAGTTTCTCCAGCACTTTGTGTTTTTGTTCCATGCTCCTGCGACTTACTCAGCATCTCCTTCTGGAAGTGCAGCGTGTGGATATTGAATGAAGACAGAATCAGCTTTGCTTGAATGCACTACTGACATTCACATATTAACTTAAGTATAATGCAAGTGGCTTTCTGACTTCAGTATATTGGACCTGTACCCCTGTCTTCAAGTGAAAGGCAGATGAACTTGTGTTTAAGGTGACCTATTCAAACACATTTTATTTTATTTCTTCTTGACAATGAAAGATAACTAATCCATAAAAGATTGTATATAGATTGCAGTGTGATGATGCTTGCTGTTTCTCTTGCAGGTTCGGTTCGTAAATAGCAACTGGGTGTTTGGGAAGCTGATGTGTCATGTCAGTCGGTTTGCACAATATTGTTCTGTGCATGTGTCAGTACTGACACTCACTGCTATTGCATTGGACCGACATCAGGTACAGAATAAACACCAAAGCACTAAATTGATACACAGGATGCTTCTACTATTGAATAGAAATCCAGACAACCTGCCTATGATGGTAAAGGATTCAAAGGGGTTTACAAATTGGGAAATTTAAAGTGCTGGAAATTCTTCTTTTCAAAATCTTATCTGTCATACAAAGCAGGCATCTTAAATAGTTACCTCTCATGCTTGACTATTTTCTCTTCCTTTCAGTCCCTCAACTTGATGTAATACTGCCTCATCTCCCCTGTTATCAGTATGATCATTCTTCTGAAATCAGCTTTTTGCAACAAATTTTTGCCAGGCAATTTGACCATGGGGTCATAATATTCAATGACAATCCTTCTTTCACAAGGAGCATTGTTACAACCCATTGAGGAAAGGGCATTGATTCTCATGCCCCATGACTCCTGGTGGCAATGCAGAAGTTAATGATTTAATCAAAGTATGCTAAGTCCCCAAATGACTTGTCTGAAGGATTCAGGTTAACAGAAAACACTGAGCAGGTTTACGTGCTTCATAAAATCTACTGATTAAAAGGAATAAATAAGTTCAAGTTGCAGGTAAACAAAACTATGAACTATGAACATATACCTGAACTTGTTTAAACTTTAATCCCCTTTTAAACCCCTACACACAAACAAATAAATAAGACATTGGTGGGAGGGAAAAACAAGGGAAACACAATTTAACAGCACGACTATTTAGAGCTCACTGAGATGTTATTTTTGCTTCTGAAGACTTTGTATTCTTTGATCTCTTTTCTCCAGGTTTTTCTCATTCTTCAGAAGTCACAGACTGATTGGTACATTAATTGCAAAGTCTCTCAGTCACTGGTGAAAGGCAACAACTTGCTGCAACTGGTGGAAGAACATAACTGGTTTACTTCATGCACTTTTAATGCAGAGATAGAGACACAGAACCTGCTCTTCCAGCAGTGCAGAGGTTCTCACTATAAACACTGAAGATGTTCACCTGACCAGAGCCAATTACAGAGCTGTCATCAAGCTGCACATTTGCACAAACCAATCAGTAATCTGTTGCTAGCTGAATCTTATTCTGCCATCACACACCCCTCCCGCTTAAGTGTCATGCCATTTTATCTCTCCACCCTAATGCTTAAACATTGCAGTAGTATAAACAAAATCACAATGAGTTCCAGGAACTTGTTTTTAAAAGGGCATAAATTCCTCTACAGTCCTTGATTTAGAACATTCCTGTCCCCATTTCCCACCACTATCAAAATTAAAGATAAAAAGATGCCATCTTTATAGCACAATCCTAATTGATATGAATCGCCAGGCAGTTTCACAACTAACATTGATTATTTCACATAAATATAGAAAATGCTGGAAATGCTCTAAAGGTCAAGCAGCATCTCTGAAGAAAAAGAATTAACATTTCAAGTCTGTGACCTTTCTTCAGAAGTTTTACTAGCTATCTTGCCACAGACAGAGGATCAAACATTGGACCATTTTGTTCTGATTTAACTTAAAAAATGATTCTGTGCTGATGTGTTTTTATCTGGTGCAGTTCTGTTCATAAAATAATAATATTAGATTAATCTCTTCATGGTACAACTGGCTTCAATTACTTTACAAAATCCAAGACCAAAACCCAAACCACTGTTTATATGGCATATATTCAGTGTGGTATGACATTGTAACCTGTTGCACTTCCGGTGTCTGTGTCCTCTGCAAACTTGAATCTCTGTTGACAGCAAACGACTGTGGAATTTGACCTTATTTCAAAAGTCAGGAGTGGGGAAATACTTTTATTTCATAGGTACAGTGCTAGTACTGTGCAATTAGTTCCAAAAGAGAACATGAATTCAAACATCATGCTTCTTGACTTAAAGCAAACTTGTAGCAGTGTAAGAGCTAAGGAAGCCTTAAACTGAAACCCATTAAAACTGTGGTTGCCAAAAGAAATCTTTATATATTGGACAGAATTTGTGATAAATTCCTGATGTTTAGAAAAAATGCAACCACTGGATAATGAATCTATAACATAAAAAATTTGTGAAAGGGAATATTGTTAGAAACGCATAAATCTGAGTGCAGTACATTGGCTAGAACTTATAAGGAGGAAAGTATTTTAATTTATGCCCTTTAAGAAACAATAAGACCCATTATACAGGACATCACCAAGTTTAATGAAAGCCATGGGACAAAAATTTAATATAATAACAACTTAAGAGATGTCATACTTAGCTTTTAAATCCTATAGATTGTTGGAGGATAGGAAATATGAGAGAGATAAGGAATTACACTGTTTTGGGATGATGGGAGTGGACATATTGAGGTAGGATACAGTATGTGTCTTGACTATAGCATGATGGCAGCGCAAGCAAAGAAGGTGATCTGTCTGAAATGTGGGAGGAACCAGATGGTAGAGTTCAAAAGAGCAATGTCAAAATAATGAGGTAAAAAATGGTAGTGGAGCAAGTTTGTTTTCTTCTGCCTGTTCAGAACTAAATAATGGTGTTTGGAAGCATCAGAGGTATGGAAATAATATTCATATTTTGCATTGACATGAGCTTCATAGAAAGCTGAGAAATGTGGAAACATTTGACAGTCTTTATCAATAATTCAAGCACACTGAGGGAATTGCATAACGCAGTTCATGCCATATTATCTTTTACATTATCCAACAATGTTTATGCCCACGCTATCAGTGCAGCATTGTTTTCCGTTTTTAGTTAATCTTTTCATGAGCTTCGGCTTTCATCAAGGTAAAAGATCTGAAAGGTGGGCAAATAAAATACTTCTGCACATTTGGCCAATAAGTAATTAATAGTTCCTGTGAGAGTATCCCTTTCTTAAACGAAGCATTTTATCAACCTAACTGCAATGTCTTCATTCCCTGCGTAAGCTCTTCTTGTAGCTTTTCTGAATGAGAGGCCATGGTTTTAGGATAAGGGGTGGATGCTGGGACATTGGGTAATTTTAAGGAGGTGATCGACAGATGTTTAATCGGTAATGGGTTCAGTTTCTGGTCAATGGTAAGCCCCCAAGCTATTGATAGTGGGGTTTCAGTGATGGTAACACCATTGAATGTCAAAGGACAGTGATTAAATTCTCTCTTGTTGGACATGGTCGTAGCCTAGCATTTCTGTGGCATGTATGTTACTTGTCACTTGTCAGCCCAAGTCTGAGTATTGCTCAGCTCTTGCTGCATTTGAACATGGAGTGTTTCAGTATCTGAGAAGCCATGAATGGTGCTAAACAATGTGCAGTCATCAGCAAACAACCCCCGCCTCTGACCTTATGATGGAAGGAATGTCATTAAAGCAGCTGATGATGTTTGGATCTCGGACCACTACCCTGAGGGACTCTTACAGAGTTGTACTGGAGCCGAGATAGCTGACATCCAACGACAGCTATCTTCCTCTGTGGCAGGTTTGACTCTGACTAGTGGAATTTTTTTCCCCTGATTCCCAATGATTACAGTTTTGCCAGAGCTCCTTGGTGCCACACTTTGTCAGATATGACCTTGATATCAGGGGCAGTCATCCTCACCTTACTGCTGAAATTCAGCTCGCTGTCCATGATTAGTCCAATGTTGAATGCTGTTGTGTGGATGAAGGGTTGAGGAGAATGGTTGCCATGGAGTGTGCAGGCATGTTGTGCAGAAGAAACAGTGGACAGCTGGCCAAGACAGCCATCTGGTGAAATACATCATCCATTCATCTGCTCTGTTTCACCTGTCGGATTTTCTGGGTTTTTTTGGCAGTGGAGAGGAGATTTAGACGGTGCGTGTAAATAGGTTGAATTGCCAGTGAGGGGAAAATTACACTCTACAGCTCCATCTGAGCAATTTACCATTCTAGCAAATTGGGAACTCCAAGATGGCATTGGGAAAAATAAAGTTTTCTCGTAAGTTTTTAAACTTACAAATACCTCTTTAAAAACCAAAAGAACTGTGGATGCTGTAAATCAGGAACAGAAACAGAAGTTGCTGGAAGCTCAGCAGGTCTGGCAGCATCTGTGAAGGAAAAAAATCAGAGTTAACGTTTCGGGTCCGGTGACTCTTTACCTGCTGTGCAAGGGGTTGTGAACTTGGACCTACTATCACCTGAGTTGTTTCTATTTTTTCTATTCATTTGTAGGATGTGGGCATTGCTGGCTGGCCAGCAGTTCTTGCCCATCCCTAGTTGCCCTTGAGAAGGTGGTGCTGAGCTGCCTTCTCAAACCGCTGCAGTCGTCCTGCTATAAATTGACCCACAATGCTATTAGGGAGGGAATTCCAGGATTTATACCCAGCGACAGTGAAGGAATGGCATTATAGTTCCAAATAAGGATGGTGAATGGCTTGGAGGGAAACTTGGAGGTGGTGGTGTTCCCATATGTCTGATGCCCTTGTCCTTCCAGATGGAAGTGGTCGTGGATTTGGAAAGTGCTGTCTGAGGATCTTTGGTGAATTTCTGCAGTGTATCTTGTAGATCGTATACACTGCTGCTACTAAATGTTGGTGATGGAGGGAGTGGATGCTTGTGGATGCAGTGCCAATCAAGCGGGCTGCTTTGTCCTGGATGGCATCAAGCTTCTTGAGTGTTTTTGGGGCTGCACTCAACCAAGCAAGTGGGGAGTATTCTATCACACTCCTGACTTGTGCCTTGTGGATGGTGGACAGGCTTTGAGGAGTCAGGAGGTATTCCTAACTTCTGGCCTGCTCTTGTAGCCACTGTGTTTATGTAGTGAGTCCAGTTGAGTTTCTGGTCACTCCCAGGATGTTGATAGTGGGGTATTCAGTAACACCATTTAATGTCAAGGGGTGGTAGTCAGATTGTCTCTTATTGTTGATGGTCATAGCCTGGCATTTGTGTGGCACGAATGTCACTTGCCACTTGTCAGCCCAAGCCTGGATATTGTCCGGATCTTGTTGCATGTGAACATGAACTGCTTCAGTGTCTGAGGTGTCACAAATGGTGCTGAACATTGTGCAATCATCAGCGAACATCCCTATTCTGACCTTATGATGGAGGAAAGG